ACGCTGTCATACGTCACACGCTGTCATACGTCACACGCTGTCATACGTCACACGTCGCACGTCTCACGATGTTGCTTGTCACATGTTGTCGCATGTCACATGTTGTCGTATCTCGCAGGTTGTCGTATGGTTTCTGGGATACGGAGGGCTGCAGAAGCATCACTAGTACGGCTAATGCGACGGTGTGCGCATGCTCACATCTCACCAGCTTCGCCGTGCTCATGGATATCAGTGGGAGCAGCGGTAACGTGAGTGCTAATAATATAATATAATATAACATATAATCATACTATAATATAAAATATATACAAAATAATTAAAAAGAAGAAGAAGAATATATGTATATATCAAATAATTTAATATATATAAAATCATATAATATGAGATTAGTGTAGACACTTTTCCCAATCGTCGCGGTGGTCTGCTTCAAGTAGCGACATCTAGCGTGCGAATACTCATTCATTAGCGCACTGCTCTTAATTACGTTCATTCCGTGTATGCTTATTAATAACCATCGGACGCTCTAAGCAGATCTGATTCATTCGTGTATCATAAATATACAGGGAAGTTCCCACGTCATTAGTATTTATTGAAATAAATGTATATTTGCAGATACTTGACAAGGTACATCAAGTGGCATTGGATGTGATAACATACATTGGTTGCATCGTGTCTATCATATGTCTAGCCTTGGCTATCTTTACGTTCAGCTATTTTAGGTAAGCGTACAATTTAGCGTACGGGGTTTGCCTTTGAAGTGTTTACTGGGTCGATCCATGACTAAAATAGAACCAGCACTTATGTGTAGTTCTCGTGTTGAGAACAGCAATTCTGTGCCAGCTTTAGGTTTTCAATGTGGGCGCGTTTACTTTCGTTTGTATACAGTTTCGCCTTATCGACGATAAATGTGTGAACGCGTGCGTGCGTGTCTGTGTGCGTATGCACGTGTGTGCGCGCTCGCGGGTGTGCGTGCGTGTGTACGTGTGCATGAGCAAAACTAGACATTTCACACCAAAAACCCAGAGCAACTGTGATCGAATTAACCACATCTGCTATATACTGTCAGTCGAATCCATAATGTTATACTTTATAATACTTTATGCTTTACTATGCAGTCTTCGTAATAACCGTCTCTTGTTGTATTCAAGGCAGCTATGGTGTGATCGTAACACCATACATCGTAACTTGTGCATCAGCCTCCTTGCCGCTGAGCTTCTATTCATTATCGGAATCGACCAAACTATCAACAAGGTGAGAGAAAATGTAACGCGTTTGCAGAAATTTCATACTACTGCAAGGACGAACTCTGTCTGTCTGTTTGTCTGTCTGTCTGTCTGTCTGTCTGTCTGTCTGTCTGTCTGTCTGTATGTCTGTCTGTCTGTCTGTCTGTCTGTCTGTCTGTCTGTTTGTCTGTCTGTCTGTCTGTCTGTCTGTCTGTCTGGCTGCTATGCATTCCGCCGTTTATTGGTTTAGGTTGCCCAAACTGTTAGAATGCCATACTGTTGGGTGGTCGCCAGTAGGGGCGCCTAAGCACATGTATTTTGTTATAGTGTCCTGTACGCGCGTACGCACGGACGCATGCACACGCGTACACACACGCACGCACGCACGTACACGCGCACACGCACGCACGCACACGCGCGTACGCACACACACGTACACACACACACGCACACGCACACACACACGCACGCACGCACGCACACACACGCACGCACGCACGCACA